GTGACGCCGCTGCCTTTGTAAACAGAGGGACAGTAACTGTGTGTAAAACCTGCAGACAGTCAGATTAACAGTATTTTGTCATCATTCTGCAGTTCTCTCATGTAAACAATAACGTGGCCACAGCGTGACGTGAATAAAGGCGCATACCTTTGACGCTGCGTGACCAACTCTGTATTCCTCGTCCACACGGAAACGCAAAAGAGTTTAAAAAAATCTCAGTTTTGATTCGAAACGCCGTTTACGTGGACGAAACAGCTGCGGACATTTTTCTTGCAAAACAAAGGGGGGCCCAGCAAAAAAAGTTTGGGAACCAAACCCCAAGCCATCAAACTCCTGAACACTCAATGAGTGGACTGACACACACCTACCATAAGCACTTTTTTTTCTCATACACACACTTTTTGCACAACCCACTGTCACTGTTGCAGTGTTGTGACTGCACTGTCCTGTGTCTGTATCGTTCTGTTGTCTGGTGTTGCACTGTTTGTTTTGCAATTTTGGCACACTTGTACTTTATATAGTCTTTTGTTGATTGCCTGTTATATGTAATATGTAGCACCAGGTCTCGGAGGAACTTTCTGACAACAAGGCCACTTGACTTGACCAGCCCCAGAGAAACTGCTGAATCAAACTATCCAGTTCTTTAAAGTAAGAATCTTGAATATATAAGTGGGATACTAGATATTATATAATAAATCACATGTGCAGTCATCATTGTGTAAGGTTTATTCTAAACAATCTACCAATTTTTTCCAGCATTGGTCTCATGTTTGCTTTAACCATATCAGTATAGTCGGAGGCAATTTGTATACAGGAGTATCTGAGACCGTTTGAGGACCACCAAAATTGCCATTGTTTGAATAAAGTATAAGGGGACTGTCCTAACATGGGCATTATTCTGCCCATGTCATGTTATGAATTTGCATATAAAATAAGTTTATGATGATTAGTGTCCACAGCAACTTTCATGTTGTTTCTCAACTTTTGTGCCAAAGGTTCTATGGCAGTTGTGAACAACCCAGGGCTGAGGGGGCAACCTTGTCTCATGGATCTCTGTGAATAAAATTCGTCCAATATAGACCCATGTGTCAAAACGAAGGCCAAAGTCAATTTTTTCTAATGTCTTAAACAAATAATCCCATTCAGCACAATCAAAGGCTATCTTTCATAGCCCTGTTCTTAGTATAAGAATGTAAAGCCTCCTTTTAGCTGAGATTCCTGTGTGGTGATATTTTCATTAGCTGTCTTCTTCATAAAAGGAAGCTAAGGAAATAATCCTCGTCCTCAAATATTCTTTCGTAGCATCCCACCAGACACCCATTTTTGTGTCATCTCAGGAAAAAAATGTATGTCACCCCTAATCATTATAGCAAATAAGATGTCTTTAAGTAAGAACACATTCAAACGCCACCAACGACTTTTGGGGGTCTGTCAAATGTTTTTAAGGCATGGAAAAATTGTCCAACTGTAACCATGGTGAAGTCTGCAAAGCCCATTCAATACTAAAGCATTAAAGACTCCAGCATAAATTAATAAGAAAGATTCAGGTTTGCTGCAACCTGATAGACAGGGGGAGAGTCCACTCTGAGAGTGCATCCAGCTCGATACAACACCTACTCCCACCTTTCTTGGATACCGCTTCTCTCCGTAGCCTACGCAGCTTCTCCAGGGATCTCAGGATGTCCTGCATCCTCTTCACATCCGCCTGCTTCTTCCTAACTTCACAAAGGACAGAGTCTGCAGCCATCTTCAGTTCCTTCTCCTGCAACACAAACACTGATGTTAGCATTTGGAACAACACCACACAGGACGACAGGCGCTATGACCGGAACAAGCTGTGGCCATAATGAGCCCTCTTCAGAGCGTTTCATTCTGGGCCTCCATACTTGATGCAGCCCTGACACAAGCGCTTTGGAGCACCTCTTGTTTCTGTACCAACCGCTCTTTAAGCTTGCTGCAGTCTGATTGGCTGCCGCTCATAAACACAGTCTTTGCAGCACTATGATCTGAGCCAAAAGTGGAACAAACCGTCCCAAACATGCAGTTGGCTTCTTAATATGAAACCCTGGCCATGATTACAGCCACGGGAAGTGTAACAGTTAACTCTTTAAACACGTGGCTGACAAAATCGTTCATACCTTTTTCTTCTCCTCCACTTCCTGCATCAGTTTCATCCTCCATTTGTCTACAGCGGTCTCTTTGAGAGACCTGCGCTCTTCCGCGTCTTTCTCCTCCGTCTTTGCTTCTCTCCTGGCTCTGAGTCTGCGGAGCCTCCTGCAAGCAGCCCGGGACACTTGAGCCTTCAGCTCACCTAACCGTGAGGTGTCGGCGAGAAGTCTGGCTTTGTCCGCCAGCTCTGCCTTGATGCCTAAAGCCCTTAAGTATGAGCGCGTCCACTCACCGTCACCGTGCAGAGAGTGAGTCAGAGTGTGACAAAGGTCTTCCAGCCGTGAAATGAGCTGAGCTGCCCCGTACAGAGCCTGTCTGAGGGAGGAGATGGAGCTCAGTTGCGGCGAGTGCTGGCTCTGTAGCCTCCCGCAGCTCTTCTTCCCTGTGGCCTGTAAGAACTGTCTGACCCATTTCGTGTCCTGCTTCCTCTGCCGGGTCACATCATCGTCCGGATCCCGTGTCGCTACCGGGCCGCGGTGCTCCGTGTGGCTGCGATTTGACGCTAGCTCACGGTCACAGCGAGGAGCGTGAGGCCGTGTTTGGAGTTCCTGGGGGGCTCCGGGGATGCTTGGGAGTGGCACGTTCAGGAGGTGTCCGGGGGGTGGGCAGCCGAAACCAGGCGGGGGCACAGAGGGGTCAAATCCATAAGGCTGGGCAAAAGGTGGTCCCGTGAAACCCACACCGAAGGGACGAGCGTCGTAAGCCGGCGGAGGCGTCCACGGTGGAACCGTGAGGTCCGGCTCCCGCGCTTCGTGAAGCCCGGGGTGACTGTACTGCGAGTGCACATAGCGGCTGTTATAGCCCGAAGTGTCTGAGCGGTACGAGCTATCCATGGCCCGGTAACAGTCACCGTATCCTTGAAGAAAACTCGGAACCACACCGCTGAAACAGAACAGTACGCGGCGATTTTCTTCTTTAGTTCTTGATGTTTGTGTGGTAACCAACTTGCGGCTGCATCATCGCCACCTACAGGCGGAAATGTGGAACTCAGCCACTCAGGGGCCGCATCCTTCGACGTACTTGGCCTTCGCAGGCCGGAAGTGCGAGGCTGTTAAATGATGGCGTTTGAACCCTGCATCCCGGTCCAAACTACTCTGAGTTTATTAAGGCTGTTGTGTTTTTAACATGTTTGTATCTTGTTGTATTTAATCTGAACTAGTCCATAAAAAGCCAGTGATCACTGTCGGCCTCTCTCGGTTTTAGTGGCTCAGTTTTTAAAACCTTATCCTTTTAAAACCTCAAATATGTAACAGCCCATGCAGTAGTATATTAATGACTAAAACAGGCCAAGACAATCTCCTTCATGTTTTTCTGTGTTTTATCCTCATCACTGCAGATAATACAAACCTGGAGCAGTTACGCCATATTTGCGTTAGATAAATTAGATTATTAGCTTAAAAGGAAACAGCAGGGGGCGCTGCGCTGGAAGCTTGCGATTCATTCTTCATTAAACCAAAAGAAGAAGTGGCGTGGAGGTGAACGCGGCAGCCAGGAGCTTTTACGGAAGTGTGTGAAAGCAGAGTCACATGAGCAGGCGGCCGGTTAAGAAACGGTACCCCGACATGGACCTGGAGTCTCGAATACGGTGACTGACGTCCACGGGTAGCACGGGAACAGCAGCGTCACGGCGTCTCGGGCCGCGGTGAACATCTGTGGTAAGTCATTTAAACCGGTGCTCTCGTGCAGTTAGCCGCGGAGCTAACAGCAGGTAGCCGCGGCGGGTGGTGTTTTCTCCCCGAACCTCCCCCGGCCGAAGCACGCCGCCATCCTGTGACTGCTACTTTGTGTGTCCACAGATGGACGAGATTAAAGTGTCTCCGGACTACAACTGGTTCAGAAGCACGGTGCCACTGAAGAGAGTGAGTACACAGAGCTGCTCGGCCCACTGCGTCATTAAGGAAGTACACACTTGTTATGTCCTCTCTGTGCATGCGAGGAAAAACAAACTCGCATGCAGTTAGAAGCCAGGTTACTGTTTAGTACAGGTGCATGGCGGAGGCGGGCTGGAACCGAAACTATGATCCGAGCTCACCGAGGCCTTCTGCTCCCCTGAACCACAACATGAAGAAAAAGCCATTTTTATTTAACTTTCGTGCTGGATTGAGCAGTATGAAAAACAAAAATGTCAGTAGGCAGTCTAGAGTTTGCACATGTAGTTCGACTAATTACAAAATGATTGTTAAATATTTTTGCGAGCATACCCTGGAGGAGTCGGGGAGAGTTTACAGGAAGTGGCATTAGAAACACAACTTTGAGGGTTTTTTTTAACGTCTGTCCTAAATTACAGACCCTGCTTTTGATGTAAGACAATTTAGACTTTTTTCTTTAATAATTTTTAAATGCTCATGTTCAAATTTGGCCTCGGACTTTAAAGTGGGGAAAGGTGGGTGGATAGGACTTTAAAAGTAAATGTATGTGATATATGAAGGTATAATTTCAGAATCATCATCATCCATGTCTGAGTTTTCAGAGATGACTGAGCAGGAAACGCTCTAAAAACGTTGTTTGGAGCTGGAGTTGTTTATGTTGTTATACGTGTGTTTCTGACATGGCAGTGTATTTCATTTTGAAATGTCATAGTGATTGTGACAGTGCACATGAATACATGGAGGGTTACACGTGGATGCACAAGCATTCTTGTGGTCAGATCACCAGTCGTGTGCTCGGTGTGACCTTTGGCACTGAACATGACAACATCTCATATGATCCACAGGATTTTGGTGCAGCCGCATTTGAGTTGCACCACAAACTAGTTTTACTACATTAGTACATTAGTACTACTATGTACTAGTATGTACCACGTTTCCCCCGTCCATGTGTTAGAGCTGCTCTTCATCACGACATCTTGTCTTTAGTTCCAGTGACACTCCTCCAGGGAGAGTCACAGCAGCTTAGTTCTGCTCACACTAACACACTGCTGTTGGTGGTGCTGTCTGAACATGGGTTCACTCTGTCGCCGTGCCAGGAAATAGTTAGGCTCCAAGTGGTTAGTCTGTGAGCTACTGAATGCCTGGCTGTCCTCAGATCTGGTGTGCATGAGGCTTTCTGCCACTGCAGACTTCCTGCTTTGTTGTCATGTGAGCACTGAAGGCTTCTGTCCTTAACACATGTTGGTCAGTCAGCCATCTGTCACATGGTCACATTTATACTGATGTTGTGTGCAGTAGTCACAGGGCCGCTGCTTTCAGCATCATGTGCTCAGACAGCTAAACTAGGGCGGCATGGACGATAAAAAATCTTTTGTTTCCAAGTTTCATTTAATCCACAGCTGTGCAGTGCCCATATTTGTGCAGTAGAGAGTAAAAAGTGTTCAATTTCAATTCAATTTTATTTGCACAGCGCCAAATCACAGCAACAGTCGCCTCAAGGTGCTTTATATTATAAGGTAGACCCTACAATAGTACACACAGAGAAAACCCCAAAAATCATGACACCCCCCCCCCTCTAAGCAATCACTTTGGCGACAGTGGGATAGAAAAACTCCCTCTTAACAGGAGGTAACCTCAGGTAGAACCAGGCTCAGGGAGGGGCGGGGCCATCTGCTGTGATTGGTTGGGGTGAGAAGAGAAAGGCAGGATAAAAGATATTAGATAAAGATTTAGCTACTAGCCAAATCCAGTGGAGTGGTTTGGTTTAAACTAGAATAAAACCAACAATGGTCTTAAAAATTATATATTTTAAA